CTGACTGGTCCTCTGATGGTGGGATGGTGGTATGACCCCCTGACTGGTCCTCTGATGGTGGGATGATGGTATGACCCCCTGACTGGTCCTCTGATGGTGGGATGATGGTATGACCTCCTGACTGGTCTTCTGATGGTGGGATGATGGTATGACCCCCTGACTGGTCCTCATGGCTCCATCTTTACGTATAATTTTTCAGTGTCGAGGTGTGATCACAGGCTTCTCTCCTGAATGTTCATCACGACGTTCTGTGTGTGTTAGTTGTGTGAGATGCCGATGCCGGCCTTCATGAAGCAGACTCTGGAAGAGCTTGGTGTGGGAACATACTCCAACATCGCCTACATCCACCCCGACACGCCTCTCATCATGGCTCTGTCTGTCTTCACGCGGCGCCGCGTCTCTGCCCTGCCCGTCGTTGACCACAACGGTAACATCCTGCTGCTTCAGAAGTGCTGTGTGTTTGTTGGCTGAGCTGCTCTGACCATCCTGTCTGTCTGCAGGGAAAGTGGTGGACATCTACTCCAAGTTCGATGTGATTGTGAGTACCGCTGTCCTCCGCTGACCCGGTAGAATGGATAAGAACCATTGTAGGGACTGACTGTGGTGTCCATGCAGAACCTGGCAGCTGAGAAAACCTACAACAACCTGGACTTGACGGTGACCCAGGCTCTCCGACACCGATCCCAGTACTTCGAAGGAGTCATGAAGTGCAACAAGCTGGAGACTCTGGAGACCATTGTGGATCGCATTGTGAAGGCTGAGGTAACACCGGCCATCAGCAGATCAGATGACACTGAGGTGCTGACAGGATGTGGGCCAGGAGCTATAGCAGAACCATCATGAAGCACAAGATCTGACATTGTAGCAGCTTGTTCAGTTAATTGTTTAACAGGAGCTTTTATTTTGATAGGGGGCTGTAGGAAACATGTAGGATTAATAATAAAGTGTGTGTGTGTGTGTGTGTGTGTGTGTGTGTGTGTGTGTGTGTGTGTGTGTGTGTGTGTGTGTGTGTGTGTGTGTGTGTGTGTGCGTGTGCGCGTGCGCGTGCGCTCCCAGGTTCACAGGTTGGTGATTGTTGATGAAGAGTCTCGTATCGTCGGCATCGTGTCTTTGTCGGACATCCTGCAGACGCTGGTTCTGACCCCCGCAGGTACGGCTGGGTTTATTTGCACCACCTGAACCATCAGTCACATGAACCTGGTTCTGAATTTCAGTTCTATTATATTCAGTTTATTCTTATAGAGCCGAGTTCCAATAGGTCGTCTCAGTGCACTGTAACTGTGACTTTAATCTGAATGCACCATGTCCCAAGAGCAGCTTTGGTAGGCCAGGGTAAGAGCGCCAAGGCCCCGCTTTCAGCCACTGCCCATGGATTCATGCACCCGACTCATATGGCCCCTCCTGCAGGTGGTTGGCCCACATGAAGGCAAACACCATGTTGTTCCTTAGGGCTGAGCCAGACCGGGCCCCATGGGTAGAGACCCGGTCACCAGGCGCTCGCCGACAAGCCCCTCACCCAGACCTGGCTTCAGGGTGGGGCCCCAGTGACCCATGTCCAGGCAAGGGACACTGAGCTCCTTGTATTTTCTTGTCCATGTAAGTCTTTGGAATTGCTCTTTGTCTGGCCTGTCACCTAGAACCAATCTGCATTGGGAGACCCTACCAGGGGCAAACTTGTCCCCAACAGCAGAGCTCCTAGGATCATTCAGGCGCACAAACTCCTCCACCACGATAAGGTGACGATTCAAGGAGGAGGGTCCTATGGTCCTCCAGGGGTCATGGGAGTTTGCCCATCCAGTCTACATGTGTTTTGTGGATTTGGAGAAGGCATTCGACCATGTTCCTCGAGGTACACTGTGGGAGTTGCTCTGTGAGTATGGGATTGGGGGCCTGTTGCTATGGGCTGTTCGGTCCCTATACAAGTGGTGCTCAGGTCTCTCTTGTAAATGAGTCCCCGAGGCTCGATGGGATTAACCTGTAGAAATAAAGGTTGAATGAGAGTTTGGTTCTCATTGCCGGTAGTAAGTTGGACCCTTCAGGGCTGTCCGTTGTCACAGATTTTGTTCATAACTTTTATGGACAGAGTTTCTTCAGAATTTCGTCCCTAGGGAGGTGCTTCAGGCATGTCTAATTGGGATTTCTACGGAATCCCAGGATTCCGTATGTTGAGGGAGTATCAGAGAAACTGAGACGTTTATTTTCTAAA